AATGGCACGACACTGCTCTTGCCCTCACCTCCTGGGCTGTGTTCAGTGGCACGTGGCGTTTACCATGTTGACTGCCTGACCCTTTTGCTTGGCTGAGAGGCGGGATGATTGGCTTCTATGTGTATTGTACATTTCGTTATCAAGACCAAGAAGAAGAGAGGAATGCAACAACAAATGCGACGGAAAGCTCAACCAAAAACCCCCCAAACAGTCAACACATTCATGCTTCGCTGTAACATAACGTAACAAATCATCAGAGCAGACAGGACAATGGCAACCAAATCCACAGCGTCAAGATGCAATGGTGCACATATGCACCTCCCTCATGTCACGCCCAAGTCTCATTCCTCTTCGCTCTTCCCTTCCGCACCATCCTCATTACTGTCCGTCTCACCACCACCATCACCACCATCACCACCATCACCACCATCACCACCATCACCACCATCACCACCGCTGCGCGGGTGCACCCCCTCTGGTGCGATGGATGTGTCACACACCAACAGCAGCTCGCGCAGTTGGCTGTTCTCCGTTTCCACACGCGCAATCTCTTGTGCGAGCGCATCCACGCTCGTCCCTGCATCCGCCTCAACCGCGGCACACATCACCTGTAGGTGTGTGTGTGTGTGTGTGTGTGTGTGTGTGTGTGTGTGTGTGTGTGTGTGTGTGTGTGTGTGTGTGTGTGTGTGAATAGAGACACGTGGGAAGGTTCTGCTGTGTGCAATGCCGTGTCCATGCGTGTGTCAAAACGACAGGCGAGCGTACCTGCTGCATTTCCTCAATCTTGGCGTTCAGGCGGGTCACCTCCTGCACGAAGAAAGGAAGCAACAAGAGCAACCGAGGATGTGTGTGGGGGGGGGGACAAACAGCGACCACCATGCGCTCACATTGCTGGCTCACGTGTGCAGTTGTCCGCAAACAACCACGCACACGCACACACACACACACACACACACACACACACACACACACACACACATACGCACACATACACACACACACATACTGCAAGGTCAACAAGAGGAGCACGGGGCGCGAACCTTTTCGAGGGCTGCGACCTTGTCATCGGCCTCCTGCTTCGTCCTGGCGGCGTCGGCACGCGCTTCATCTTGGATGCGCAGCAGCTCGTCAATCTGCTCCACCCGACAGCACACGTGCAGTGCCGTGAGCACACAGGGGCATGTGGAATGGGAGAGAGGAGGGCAGAGGCGATGACCCGTGCAATGGAGCGCGAGTTTGGCACGTGCTTTGTGGTGTGTGTGTGTATGTGTGTATGTGTGTGTGTGTGTTTGTGTATATGTGTGTATGTGTATCTCTGTGTGTCTGTCTGTGTGTGTATTTGGCAGTTGGGGTTACAACCGACGGAGCAAACGTGTGTGGTCGATAGCTCACCTGCTTTCGACGATGGTCCACCACCACTTGCATTGTCGTCTTCATTTCACCCACAAACGCATGCAGCTCACGATTCTCGTGCACGAGATCCTTCAGGAACTGTGCATCGCCGCTGCTTGTGTCCTGATAGTTGCGCGTTGTGTGCATGTATGTGAATGTGTACGTGTGTGTATGTGTGTGTGTGTGTCAGTAAATCATGCTCGTGTGTGTGAGCGATGTGCAAAGGAGATGCGGTTGGCAATACAAAATGTACACAGGATGCCACAAGCACGTCTAAGCACCCCTACTCTAAGCAGACATCAAAATGGCACCCACCGTCGCTTGGGTGGCCTTGGATTCGCCCTTGACGGCCGTTACATCTCTCAACGCAGCCTTCACCTGCATACAGTCCCATGCACATTGGGATCAGCTCTCGCCACACACCCACCGGCATCCACGCACAACAAAAGCCGCCCCCGCCCCCCCAGTACCTCTGGCACTCACAGAAAAGACACTCACAGAAAAGACACTCACAGAAAAGACACTCACAGAAAAGACACACGTAAACTTACTTCCCCTCTGTGTTTCCCCACACTCACTCGCGCACACACACGCACGCACACACTCAAACCAACTCACATACGCACTCAGACCAACTCACATACACACTCACACACATACGCACACTCACTCACCTCGATGGAATGTTTGAGCCTTGATCTTGCTTTTGCGGCAAGCTCCATGGCTTTATCTGCTGCATCCAGGTGCCCGTCAACAGCCTTGCGCACCCTCTCCGCGACGGCGAGCGTCTTGTTTCGCCCCTGACCCGAAAATGTTCTCGGCGGTGCCATCTTCTTGCCTCCTGCTGCACGTTTCGACTGTTGTAATCTGCGCTGCTGCCCAGCACTTGCTGCTGCTGTCGCTGCGTTCGTGTTGGCTGTGCTTTCAATACCACCACTGTTTGCTGGCGCTGATGTCCCTACCTCAACACCTCCAATCTTCACTTCCTTGCGTTGTGAGCGCGATGCTCTCGGCCTCTCCATGCCCTCCTCAGCGTCACACTTATTGCTTCTTGTCTGTCTGCTGTCTTCCTTTCTCCTTCTTTGCGTCGTCTTTGCTCCACAGTTGAGAGTTGACGAATATTGGTGAACGTTTTCATTGAAAACTCGAACAGAGTGAGCCACAGTTGCTTGCTCTGCTCGCAGGCTTGCTTTGCTTGGCGTGCTGCTACAGCTCGTCGTGGTGTTGTTGCTGTTCCTTGACAATGGAGACTACACGCTGTGTGATGGTGTGGGCAGCCTCCTCCGTCATGGTGTACGACCCAAAGTACGTCGAGGTCACCTGAGAAGCAACAAGTGTGGTGAGCAGCGTGTGCGGTAAGATGGGAGTGTTCAGTGTGTGCTGTGTTCGTGCTGTGCACTGTATCCGTGCTGTGCTTGGGGGCACATCAGAAGCGCACATACACATACACAGAGAGACACATGCACACACATACACATACACACACACATATGTATTGATACATATATACAAACACATACGCACACACACAGATAGACATACGCGCACACACACACAGATAGACACATAGGCACACAGGAGAGGCACGGCACGCACCTCGTTCACGGCGTAGTATGTGTGGTCAAGGGCTGCGGCGAGATAGCCAAAGCATCGGTTGCCGTGGGGATCCATGATAAACTCAACCAACGTACTCCCACGCTTCATAAACATGGCGTTGGCAAGCCCAGCACCGTGTGGCCCTGCGAAACACAGAGAAAGAGGGGGCGGACGGGTTTGAGAAACAGTGGCGAAGAAAGGAGGGGGAGAGGAGGGTGTTGTGACAACCGTAGTGTTAGCAGGGAGCACGACTGTTTGATGACGATGGAAATGGTGTGGGGGGGGGAGGAATAAGGGCAAGGCAGAGTCGCGCAATTCGCGAAACTCTGGGCTGCTGTTCACATGACATGACGTGACGTGACGTGACGTGACGTACCGATGATGATGTCGGCGTCGTTGAAGAGATCCATCTGGTAGAGGAGGCGGTTGCGCACGCTGGAGCCGGGCATCAGCAGCGGGTCCGGTGGCGAGGAGAACACCTGCGCACGCACATGGGGGGTGGTATGCGGTGTAGTATGTATGTGTGTGTGTGTGTGTGTGTGTGTGTGTGTGTGTGGTGAATGTGGGCGGGTGTGGATAAAGATGTGCGAGTGCGTGCGTGTAGCACATGTGCGCAGTATGGGTACCCTGGTGTTTGAATGTGAGCACTTGCAGGTGCGAACCTAAACCATGACAAGAGGGCATGACAACAACCACATTATAGCAAAACGCAAGACAACCTGAGGGCTTCAACACAAACGATATTGCATTCAGAAAGCGAAACCCACATGAAAGTCAAAGAGACTGGCGTGTTCCTTCATCTCATCAATCAACAGGCCCTCGTTTGCAACAGACCGGATCCCAGTTCTGTCCACACACACACACACACACACACACACACACACACACACACACACACACACACACACGCACACACACACACACGCACGCACGCACGCACGCACACACACACACACACGCACACACACACATGAAGACACGCGTTGAGCGTGCACATGACAGCAAGAGCAGCATGACACCATCTCAAGCCTTCACTGCTGCAGATCCTGCCCCCCCCCCTAAACACAACATCAAACGCCACTCCCAAACTCGTGTCGCCACATCACCCCCTGTTACCGCACCGCGAGCAGTAGACGACCTTGGGCCTGTGCGCGTCCCTGTGGAGAGCAGCGCCCACGGGGGACTGGCCGCTTGCACGCACGCGCGAGACAATGTCGCGACTGACACGATTGAGGAGATGGGCGGCGCTCTGGTGATGATGGCAGTGGCAGTGGTGATGGTGATGGCGACACGGGTATGGTAGTGGTAGTGGTGGTGGTGGTGACGGTGGTGGTGGTGGTGGTGGTGGTGGTGGTCGTCGTCGTCGTCGTCGTAGAGAAGGAGAGAGCGATGGTGTGTACGAGTGAGCAGTCGAGACGGTGTGTACACATGGCACTGATCACGATGGAAACGATGTTGACGCGAAATGCAAAACGACAACAAGAAGACATGGGGCACGGGGGAAGATGCAAGGGTGCTTTGAGGACGCACCTTTGATGGAAGGAAGCTGTCCCACATGTCGATGTCGTCAGCGAGCACACCGTCAGGGTGCGACCACGACACGACGTGCAGGTTTGAAAACTCGTATCTGGCAGCGAGTGCGGACACGTGGCATTTAGCATTGACGCGAGACATCAACGGCAGGGTAGAGGAGGTGGGAAGCACAAGTGTTGCAGCATGCACGATGGCATTGCATAACGCAAGTGCACAAGGACACACATTCCGCACATCCGTACATCCACACACCCCGCACATCCACACATCCACACATCCACGATGATGGACACGTGCGTGTGGGCATCACACCATCGGCACAAGGGACATGATGTCGGCTCGTACTTCTTTGCGACGTCGTATTCGAGTGTGCGGTCCTCATCGCTGAAGGCGCTCATGTCATACGATGTGAACTGGGCTGCAGTTGGTGGTGGTGGTCGTGGTGGTGGTGGTGGCATTCAGAAGCAACCGGTGTTCAATGATATGCTCACATGCATTAACATTCTCACTTTCGCTCACACCCAAACACACACACACACATGCGCACATGCGCACACAGTGACCCCCCCCCCTTCCCTTTCCCCTGTGTCAAGCGCTTGCGTCTGCGCACCAAGAAGAGCAGCGAAATCGTGCAGCAACGGGGCTTGCTCCTGTGACAGTGTCAACACACGATCAACACTGCCTGTCACCCCAGTATCCGCAGCAACAGCGAGCCTGGTGGTGGTGGTGGTGGTGGTGGTGGTGGTGGTGGTGGTGGTGGTGGTGGTGGTGGTGGTGGGTCGTTGTTTGTTGCGTCAGGTGCAAGCACGAACGCACATTTGTCTGACACAACACTGTCATGCGCATACAGAATGCACATGCAACATACACACGTGTTTCCACTTGCAGGCGTGGTTCACGTGAATGTGTGCATGTTAATGTGTGGATATGTACGCACGATGGCATGCATGTGTGTGCGTGTGTGCACACCTTGTCAGGACCTCCGCGACAAGGTGGTAGTAGTTTGACATCTTGGAGTGGAGGAGGTAGAGGGTGTGGCCAGGCACGTGCTCGACTGGCCGCCGTGTTGGCGAAAACTCGGCCGGCAACTGCCGTGATCATCATCATCATCATCATCATCATCATCATCATCATCATCGTCATCATCATCATCATCATCATCATCGTCATCACGCGTGGTGGTGGTGGTGGTGATGGTGGCGGGGTGTGGGGACGGTAAGGCAACATGTGGGACCGTGGCGTGAGACAGTGAAAGACGAAGAGTGACAGCAGGTTACATATGTACACCACACACGCACTCACACACACGCACACACATGCACGTGCATTCGCGACACGTGTGCTGTATGTCAGTGTGCATCTCACGTTTGTGTTTGCGTCGAGCATGGCAATGACTTCGCAAGCGCTGGTGATGACGGCGCCCGTTCCTTCAACGACTGCCGGCTGAAAACACACACACACACATACATGTAGACGAACACACACACACACACACACGTGTAGACATACACACACACACACACGTGTAGACATACACACACACATGTCGACATGCACAAACACACACGCCCATGTTTGTGAGGAAGAGCCTTGGGTGAGCCGGAGAAGCACGTGGTTGGAAAAGCTGTTCGCGTCAACGCCAAGCATACACAAATAAACGAAAACAAACACGCGTGCATGTGCACACACGCACATACCCACCGCGAACACGACATGGTAAGTGGTTTTATCTGGGAATTGAAGATCAAAGGGGGCGTTGCCATGAACACGCGTCTCTGTTGCATGACATGACGCAATCAAGGTGTGCCACAACGCGAATGCGCGCGAAGAGGAACGTGTGTTAATGTGTGAGTGTGAATGTGTGAGTGTGTGAGTGTGAATGTGAGAGTGAGAGAGAGAGAGTGTGTGTGTGTGTGTGAACAGAAACGGCGTTTGCGGAACGCGGCTTGAACAAACATTATTCAGCTTGCACACATGTGCGCAAACATCAACTCATGCACCAAGAATACAACCACCACTTCTCGCCCGGTCCAATGCTGCGCGCACCAACAGTCCCCGTTGGCGGGAAGATGACGTCGCTCTTTGCGGCGACAGCGGACGCGCCGGCACCGAGGGCGACCGTCCAGGCATCAGACCCGGAGGAGCAGGGGCCCATGTTGACGAGCGAGGGGGCGGGTTTGGTCTGGGGTGCACGCACGACTGCATCCACCATCAGCTCCTTGGCTGTGTGTGTGTGTGTGTGTGTGTGTGTGTGTGTGTGTGTGTGATTGTGTGATTGTGTGTGTGATTGTGTGTGATTGTGTGTGATTGTGTGTGATTGTGTGTGATTGTGTGTGGTTGTGTGTGATTGTGTGTGTGTGTGTGTGGATTAGGTATGAAGTGACTTGAAGTCAGTCGCTTCTTGCCTCAACACCAAGACGCATTCAGCCAGAGTGCAGTGCCTGCAAGCACAACAGCGCACCGATCTTGTGGTTTGGAGCCATTGGCGAGATCATGATGCCGAGGGCATGTAGCAGACAACACGGCCGCCGACACGCGAATCCTCGCACAGGTCGACGCGACCGTGAAAAAGGTACCGCCACAATGCTCGCTTGCTGTCATCGTGTGTGTGTGTGTGTGTGTGTGTGTGTGTGTGTGTGTGTGTGTGTGTGTGTGTGTGTGTGTGTGTGTGTGTGTGTGTGTGTGTGTGTGTGTGTTTGGTGTGAATGTGTAAATGTGTGTGTGTGTGCCAAAGTGAAAGTTAGGACAAGCGACTGCAACGCCACGATGACTGAACTGCAAGAACAGTGGGAGCCAGTGCAGCCATCACTCAACACACATACACACCGGGCAAGAGTGCCTGCGAGCTGGTGCTCGTATTCAACGTTGTCCGGGTCCTTTGCGTGCGGAGACAGGGTTCGCGTGAATGGCTGTGTGTGTGTGTGTGTGTGCGTGAATGGCTGTGTGTGTGTGTGTGTGTGTGTGTGTGTGTGTGTGTGT